ACTCTATAGCTTAGATTTATGTGACTTCCTTGTTTTTTGCGCGCGCGCGTGTGTGTGTGTGTGTGTGTGTGTGTGTGTGTGTGTGTGTGTGTGTGTGTTTCTGTCTGTTCTCCCAGTGGTTTTCAGCTCTTTCTCTCCCTCATTCTTCTCAGCTGCCTGGAACAGGATTAATGTCACTCTCTTTTAGGCCTTGGAGAATGTCATTATGGACTTGCAAAGAGGGGTGCCCATGGTTGCTGTGTATGGGCACTGCTTTGTACCAGACGCTCTGTGCCAGCCTGGTCATGCTTTGTGATGGCATTTGTCTGACACTCGATAGAAATCAAGGGACCTAAATGCAATACATATGCAGCTCTTGGACAGCCAAAACCCCAGGAAGGACGATAACTTTTTCTTTAGGTGTTTATTTGAAACACAAATATTTTGGAGGCAGTCTTTTTCATTCCTGAAAACATAATATAAACCTTGTTTTTTATGCCTTGTGGCCTAAGAATAATGGAAGAAAGCAAGTGGGTGAAAGAACGGGTCTTGAGAGAACTGCTGTGTGGGGGGAAAAATTGATTGTAGAGCCTTGTATGTACTAGAATTCAAATGCTTGCTTTTTTCACTGAAAACTGACAAGTTATATTTTTGCTTCAAGTTTAACCTTTCCACTAAACTTGTGCTCTTGAATGCTTAATGCATTAAAACTGTATGTTAGTGTATATTTTTTATTCTTAACATTAACATGCAAAACCAGAAGCATTCTGAAGCAAGGACTTAATGATTCAAGCCATGGGCTGGGCTGGGCATTTGGAATGGGTGGGTGAAGGTGACCCCTTTAGACTGCCATCTTCTTCACATCCCCCGAAACTCCCCAACTCAGCACAGTCCATATGAGAAGTCCTGTCTTCTGGAAAGCATTTAATTCCATGGAGTCTAGGTATGTCGCCATAGGTTCAAATCTTGCCTATCCCAGAATTCCTAGCTAAATGGCCTTGGAAAGCGATTTACCCCCACGGAGCCTCATCTCCCTCTCGTACAGAATGTATGTATGCTATGCAAACTTCATAAGCTCCCTCTGAAGATGATAATTGAAATAAGGAAAATAGAGCAATTAGTCTAGTACTTGACATTTATTAAGTGCTCAGTAAATGTTGAATGTGTTCTTTTCGCCCCATCTTCCTTAGCCTCCTCTTTCTCTTCGTATCTTTCCTTCCCTGCCTTCTTTCTCCACCTCCTTTCTTGTCCTATTTTTTTCCCTCGTCCATCTCCCCCTCTCCTAATCATCAGTTTAATCTTTACCATCATCTTCACATTGTTTTAGTTTCCTTTTAGAATCAAACCCTCTTAAAATATCTGTACCCCATCTGTCCCATAGCAAGAGTTCTCACTTGTCCGTACAATTGTAAACTGAGAACGGAGAGAGAGGAACCCACGGGGAGAACATGCACACCTACACATTCAGGAAGCAGCATGCTGCTAGATCTCGTGACGATCACGAACCTCAATGCGCTCATCTGGAGGAAGACAACAAAAGTACCACACGTCGAAAGAGAGAATGATGATGTGCGCAAGACCCATTCATTTCTTATTCTTCGTTTTGTGACTCTGGAGTATTAAATATTGGACTAAATATAGGTTGTAACTGGGCCAAAGTAAGCATAACTTTAAAAGGAAATAAACAATGAATTGATCTTGACTATAGAATGTTGTTAAACTGTATGAACGCTTCCTTCTTTTAATTCCTCTTGGGTTTTCTTTGTAGGAAACATGACCTACAAATACGTTTACCTCTTCTTCTTTCGCATAAGCACGTATTTCTTTTTCTGGTTTTACTGGATCGGTTGGGCCTGCTGGCGGAATAATAGTTACTGATAATAGATATCCTACTTTGTTCCTGAAAAATAGAACTGCTTCTGAATTACCGTTAATGATGACAGCTAAACTTTCAGAAGATTCTTTATTGTTGTCACTGTTAAAATAGACTTCTCCTTAAAATCTTCAGTTTGTGAAACAAACCACTCTGCTCAGTTTTGGAAACAGGCTTGGACTCTGAGGTGCCTTTGGGTGCATGTGCCCTCTGTTCCATTTATAATGTTCAGGGAGTTCTTATTCTTTTTTTTTTAATTCTGCATTTGCATGTTGAGTTTCATCATACATGTGTTTTATTTATTGCAGTGACTAAATGTCTATATGAATAATAGATGTTTTCCCTTTTGATTTATCTTGTGGTGGATTTCATTGATAGATTTTCTAATGTTCATTCCTGGAGTAAACCATAATTGACCATGATGTGTCGTTTCCTAATACTGCAGTATTGGATTTGATGATATTTTATTTAGGGCTTATTTTGTGTGTGTGTGTGTGTGTGTGTGTGTGTGTAGTCAAGATCTGCTGTTAGTTAAATTTGTATAACATTACATACCGATTTGCTGTTTAGGCCTATTTCTTGAAAAAAATTACTTTTTTTTATAACTAATTACCATTTTAAGAAAAGTCTACTACGTATCTTACCCAAAGCTAGAAAAGACAAAATCGGCATACCTGATCATGTCAAACAAAAAGACTAATTATTGGCATTGTGAAGTCTTTCCTTCTAGAATAAAATATGTTGAGATCTTTCTATTTATAAATTTACACCCAGCTCTATTTGACATTGCATCACAAGTACTTTCCCATATAAGTACATGTTATTGTACTAGAAGCCTTTTACAATTAGCAAGATCTAGAAGATTCCTGAGGCATATGTCTTATTTCCTAAAAAGAATAAAGGACTTAACAGCATAGTCTTCTCTCCTAAGGAGTGGGATA